AGAAAACGGATGCAGCAGTGGGGTGATGTGATCCTTGATGAGGCCAAATCCAGCCGCGCTGGTAGGTGCAACAGTGTAATTTGGCCACTTCCTGGAATACAGCAAATCTGTCATTGTCTCTGTCTGCCTCTCATTAGTGGGTAGCTCATTAAGTCCAGAAGGAAAGGGATGCCAATGGAGCCATTAATGGTTGCAAATCAAAAGCTCCTGTGTGCATGAATTCAACACATTGTCCAGCTTTATTTCTGGGTACCAATTCCTTACTGAACACACAATGGTGTCTAGACTTTCATTGCCTGATACCTATAAAACAGGAAGTCCTTATTCTGTTCTTACACGTTTTGCCTGTGTGTGGACCGGGTAGAGATGGAGTAAAAGGCTCAAGATTTGGCCCAGGGTGTCCTGCCGCTTTGGAGCAATTTGTATCAGGACCAGATTAATTAGTACAGTGCACGACCTCTCTGGCACTAACCACCAAGCTCCAACGATACGGTGATGTAGAGAGAACCCATCCCAGTGCAGAGGCACTCTCACGAAATACAAATATTTTACCCCACGTACACTGGATCTGAGGAACCGCGCTCCCCTCCTCCCACACGGTGCTCCGATCAAAGCAACTTTCTTCCCGCTTGCTGAAGCCTGGCTCAGTGAAGCTGAATGACACCGGGTGAAGGAGTCTGTCTCATCATCGCAGGAGCAGGGAGACTCTGATTTGAATGGCACTCCTGTTTTGCATAGACAAAGCAGTCTCACGCTGCCCCCATCCACCCTGCTATCTTTCCACATCTTCTCTTTACTGGGAGACAGATCTGCATCAGGAGGCTCTTGGCTAAATGCTGCAGAGGAGCAGGCTGAATTTTTTGGCACTTAGCAGAGGGATAAAAAAAAAGGAGCATTTTTCTTTTCCTTAAGGGCACGTATATTCCAGGTGAGCTCCCATCTGATGGACTGAATCAGCACCTCCAATCAACATAGATACTCAGCATCTTTCAATAGCCTGTCTCTGTCTTGGCAATAAGAAGAGGAACAACCCATTTGGTATTTTTTATGGTATTTCTGTAGTTGTTTTCTTGCTTTTTGGCTTTGATTTAAGAATCTGAAAATATTTGCGCTTACTTTGTGAGTGGAGGGGCAGCAAAGAGAAGAGCTTTAAGTAGGCAAGGATAACAGAGCAAATTATGTTAAGGGCAAGAGGGACTGACAGATGTAGGTGTATAATAATGTTAAATTAGCTGCAGGCATGTGATATAGCTTAGATCTGTGCTGATTGCCTTATTTCAGTAACATCAGCCAGGGAAAGTGCATGCTTCTGTGCAACTAAAACTACCGAGAATCCTTGGCTGCTTCTGAGCAACTAGCATCGAGTAGTATTTGTGCCTTGGGGTCCCCCAACTTTGTAAAATCTTTGCCCTTGAAATGTGGTTTATTCACAATAGGTTTCTCTTGTGGAGCAAGAGGCCGTTTCAAGAGCTCACCTGCCAGGTGGCTCTGTGGGCTGGAGAGTTACCTGGAAAAGCATCTTAACTGCATTATTGTGTGAGGTTTGTCTTTTCTCCAGATTAAAAAAATAGACATTTAAACATGCGTAGGGACGGTTGTATTTGCTGATGGAAGGGTGACTTCACATTTCACCATCAGGGCTAAGGAAAGCTGTGGGAGTGCGTGTGCTTCTTTCTTCACATCTGTGAGTAATTGTGTGCGTGCGTGTGTGTGTGTGTGTGTGTGTGTGTGTGTGTGTGTGTGTGTGTTGTGAGCCAAGGGAAAAAAGAGAACTGTTTTTCCCAGTTTTACATCCTTTACTCACTTGTGTCCAGAGCTGAGCAGTGTGCCTGCGTTCCACGAAGCAGCACATGAGGTCTGTGGGTTTGTTTGCACTGAAAATGTAAATACAGCCCCGGGGATTGAATTCACAAGAGCTGAGAAAAGGGACATGAATCTTGACAAGAGAGAAGGGGACAAATCCAGAGCTGGCTGGGATTGGAAGAACCTTATCCATCTGGTTTGTGTTTTGCAAAACCAGATCCCAAACCAGGAGGGATTCAGAGTGAGACCTTATTCTGTCAGAATGCAAAGTGCTCAGGGACGGTGTTGGAGCATCTCTGAACAAGGAGGGATTTGCTTAACTCGTTCTAGTCCTCATCTCTCTACTGCAGACAGGAAAGGGCAAGGTCAGCCTAGGCTGGGTCCTTTAAGCCTTCTCCTTGAGGGGTCTGAAAACCCTGTGCGGTTCAGCACAAGGCCCCATTTTAGTGATCAGAGGACTCAGATCAAAGCTCCATCTCCGCTGAGCAGGAAATGTACTTGGATCAGTTTTCAAAGTACACCTTGGACCCAAATAATTCCTGGTGCAATGTCAACTAGCTGCAGGGGGTTCATCTCAAAAGTGGACTGCCGTGTTTAACTCTTGTGAGTGTTGTCTCCTTTGGGTTAACCTATCTCAATGGTCTTGTTCAATGGGAATCACTAGCTACAAATGAGCATCTTGAAATAGGTCCTTGGCTCTGTTTGTTAGGCATTTCTGTGGACATAGATTCATAGATGTTTGGGTCAGAAGGGACCTCAGTAGGTCATCGAGTCCGACCCCCTGCCCTGGGTAGGAAAGAGTACTGGGGTCAGACGACCCCAGCTAGGCGCATGTCCAGTCTCCTCTTGAAGACCCCCAGGGTAGGGGCGAGCACCACCTCCCTTGGGAGCCCGTTCCAGATTCTGGCAACCCTTACCGGGAAGAAGTTCTTTCTAATGTCCAACCTAAATCTGCTCTCCCTCAGTTTGTGGCCGTTGTTCCTAGTTACTCCAGGGGTGCCCTAGTAAATAGAGCATCTCCTAGTCCCTGCTCCCCTCCCCTGATGAATTTGTAGGCAGCCACAAGATTCCCTCTCAGCCTTCTCTTGCGAAGGCTGAAGAGATCTAGGTTCCTCAGAGGCCTTGCCTGCAGACCCCTGACCATACGAGTGGCCTCCTCTGGACCCTCTCCATGTTGTCCACATCCCTCTTGAAGTGTGATGCCCAAAACTGGACACAGTACTCCAGCTGCGGCCTGACCAGTGCTGCATAGAGGGGGAGGATCACCTCCCTGGCCCTGTTCACCATGCATCTGCTAATGCATGATAAAGTGTGGTTAGCCTTGTTGATCACTCTGTCACATTGATGACTCGTGTTCATCTTGGAGTTAACAACTATGACTCCAAGATCCCTTTCTAATGCTGTGCTGCTGAGAAGGTCATCCCCCCACCTGTCAGTGTGTTGGGGACACAGATACTTCTCCCCAGGTGCAGCACTTTGCATTTGTCCTTGTTGAATTGCATCCCATTTCGTTCTGCCCATTTTTCCAGTCTGTCCAGTTCCACCTGGATCTGTTCCCTGCCCTCTGCTGTGTTAACTTTGCCCCATAAGTTAGTATCATCTGTGAACTTGGACACGGTGCTCTCCATGCCTTTGTCCAAGTCATAGAATCATAGAAGTCGGGTCGGGAGGGATCTTGTAGATCTTCAAGTCTGACCCCCCGCCTGGGTGGGAGAAAACCTGAGCTCAAATGAGTCCAGCCAGGTAGTCATCAAGCCTCCTCTTAAAGACCCCCAGGGTAGGAGCCAGCACCACTTCCCTTGGAAGTTGGTTCCAGATCCTAGCCACCCTGACCGTGAAGTAGTTCTTACAGATGTCTAATCTAAACCTCCTCTCCAACAACTTATGGCCGTTATTCCTTGTTATGTCAGGGGGCACTAGGGGAAACAAGGTCTCTCCCAAACCCTTCTGGTC